GGCTGTGGCTGTGGATGTGTTGATTTCTTGCGGAGTCATCTTTTGGGATTATAAAAGAAAAAGAAAAGGGCAAAACAATCAGACTTGGGTTTTTATATATTCGATAACGAAAAAATGTGGCATCATTATGAAGTCATATTTCCCATACACTGCATACAGTATGTCATGTGATAAGATTATCTTGTGTGTTACGTATCAAATAAAATGACGTTTTTTGAAACTGTTTGTTTCCTTCAATAGGGTAACTCGGCAGATTTTTTTGTGTCTAGGCCCTTCGTGTTGGTGTTTGCTAAATTTAGTAAGGGCAGAGTCATTGATGCAAACATGTGGAACAGAAGTTATGTTGACGAGGGTTGAGAAGAAGAAGGCATAATAATGAATGCACATGGTCCAGTAGTGATATCGCGATAATAGATAATGGACAGAGGAAGATCGATGGAAATTTGCCATTTATAAACGCGGGGAATAGTAGAATAACGTGACACAATTGAACTCTATCGGATTTCCCATATCAACTGGGAGATCATTACGATTTCACACAAAAATTTTATGTTTAATCCCAAAATGACCCAACCTCGCGTCCGTTATTCGGACATTTCTTTTCCTGTCACTCGATTTCTTATATTAAAGTCGTTTTAATAAAGTCAGATATTAATAGAGCAACGCCCAATAAGCATGATAATGACACACAAATACGGCCCAATTTAGTTTACAAAAAGTTTAATTTTTTTTCGAATAAACCGACGAACAAATATCGAGGTGAATTGGTCATCGTTAATTCAAACAAGTGAGAATTTTGGTCAGCATTATTATTATCATTATTACTGCCGTGATTGATTGATGTTACACTGTGCGATTAGCTATAATTAATTAATTTAGAACAATATGTAAACAAATTACCGGTCATTAACTTATTAGTATATTCGAGACATTAACTAATTGGGTAATTTAGCAAACAGTGTTTCTATTCTATTATATTATATTATATTATAGATTTTTTATGTAATTAGCAAAATAAGAAAAAGCAAATGTAAATTCAGTAATAACACACGAGGCTCAAAGAGTTGCGTTGATTCCGAATAACGAAAAGCATAACAAATGTTAAACAGATTTTTACGCTAAAAAATAAAAGATGTGAGGTGCGCTCAAAAATATGGTATAAACGATAGAGTGTGAGCCTAACACACAAAGTTGATCACAAAGCTTAAATAGTGTGTGCATACAATTGTACAGATATGCGCTAACCTCTGCAATTCAGTTTCTCAATGTGAAAGAGCTTGATTTGTTTCGTATAATAATAGCTCAAGCAAATTTCAGTTGGTCTAAACATAAAAGTAAAAGAACGAAAAAAAAAAGCGTGGAGAGTAACGTTCTCGTAATACTTGGCATATCAATAACACTGATCTATTTTAAGCTCACACTCATTATGCAAATGATCAAGCATTTCGTCAAGCTGTACATTGGTCTCGGCGTTGTGCTAAAGATGAATATTAATATTAATTGCAGTAATTTAAACTTGCTGGATTTGTGTTAAGCTCGGATATTGTTTCTTCCGTACGTAGATAATTAATTACATGTGCAAAGCAAAAAACGCGTTGTCAGAGGGTTTAACGTGTAAGCTTGTTTTTATGAGCCAAAGATGAGATGACATCAAGTCGTTTATTAATCTGAAAAAGGACGAGTCGAAGCGCTTATCATTGAAGGATTCAGGCATAACCTGAGTCTTGTAAAAATAAAAATAGATTATTAAAAATTGTACAATTTGACAAATTCCCCTGTTAATATTATTTGGGAAACAAGACTTGCATATAACTTTGCACAAATATGCTTACGATATTAAAGTGCGCTATACCAGCGGCAACTTGACAGGTCGGACCCGTGTCTAAAGCCAGATTATTAATCACATCTTCACTTTAATCATACTCTAATCTATTCGCGACCAAATTATAGGTAATCCTGTTACTCTGAAATCCCCTCATGTTACTAGCGATGGTTATTTCTTGTTTGTCTAAAAATAAAACGATAATCTGCTCAAAACCTGTGACCTAACAAGGACAGTCTCAAACCGCAATCATAGCATACGAAAAAGCCCGTCTGTATTTAGACCGGATGTTATGCTTTGTAACATACTTTGAGATGTAACGGTTTAAGTCATATGCAACATCACACATACTGACACTGTGTTTACAATCCACATGCACACATTAAGATATAACCCAAAATTCTCTAACACTGATGTAAACCCGTATTGTTATTAGTGATGGGTGACTAGAATAGAACATAAGGCCAAGAGATACAAAGAACGTGCTGAAAAACTCTTTTACCCTGCATGGTCACTTGACGCTATGATGTAACAGTCTTATTATAAGGGGTCCCCAATAGTTCATTTAACACGTTAAATTTCTCGGAACGTTCAATAAGAGAATGTCTGGTTAGATAAAAACGTCTTTGTGCATGCAGCAAACCCCCCGCATTTCCATTGTCCGGGAACCAAAACTTGTGTCCATTCAATGCTGGTAATGCAAATTACTTATAATTGTTGTACGTAAATCGACATTCAAAGGCTTATCAATTATCTAATCGTACCTTATATCAACATTTATATTTAGAAAAACCGAGTAAAGACTATTTACAATGAGAAACCGTTGATGGAAAAAGACTATCAGAGAGAACGAGAGAGAGAGAAACATGTATAATAGACGGTCATATTGGGACATGTACAACGCAACGTTATTACAAAGAATGCTGAATCATCGTTGATATTGAAATACACAAAAACATCATTATATACAAAGAAAAGAAAGTGGGGTTTTAGTCATAAGCATAGACAATCACCTATTTATCCTGCTATTGCGCCCACGTTCTTGGCATTTTCCTAAAATGGAAATGACTGTTTCCAATCTGAATACCCAAACAGGAAATAAAAAGAATAAGTGGAAGGACAAAGTGTTCGAAATGAGTGACACAAACAGAACAACGTTCCCTATTGTGTGAGAGTTGTTCCTTTTCCTTTATCCTTTTCCCTTTCCTTTCTTTATCGACTCGCACACCGTCATATTGTGTGCGAGAAACAAACAAAGGAAAATAATAAATTAAATGAAAATGCTAGTCTTAAAATTTTCTGATCATTTGCCCACTTACGCCATCCTCCCATGCAGCGTAACATCAGCAAATCGGGAGATCATTGTTACTGGTTGTTTGGGGATAAACAATCATCTTGCGAGTACCCATTCAACGTATGCAAGTCATGGATGTTCCCTGATTGGCTTGTCCCGTGATTCACATGGTAATAGGTTTGGATAAGATACTAAATCGGGCCGTTCAAGTCGACATATTGGGTGATTAGGCTAATATTATTTACCCAAAAGATAAAAAGTTGAAACATCATCAGAAACACCAGTGATATCGAACCTCCATATGAACGGCAGCGTGTGTGTGCGTTTCATGTTACAAGAACTGGTGAAATCGAATCGGTGACATGCGCTTATTGTTATCCGCGAAGTAAAAGAGCAATTTAACCGATTTTTATTAATTATATCGATCGCTATTAACAGCTCTCCATATCTAAACTATACACATGACGCATTTTTTTCCGTTCCACTTTTCCCGTCACTTTCCCGTCCCCCTTTTCCTTTCTCTTTTCCTTTTTCCTTTTCTTTTTCCCACTGCTCTTATCTTTTGTGCATGAATCTCTAACTCACCCTTTGTTTGTATTTACATCTATAACGTCTAACGCAACTATACACCAATGATGCAAATTTATTAGTTTGGTTATTGCGCAAATCCCCTTAAACTGCACCAATCACTTAAATTACCCTAATTGGCAAACAAATGGATGATTAAAGTGAGCGCACATAAATCATACTACATAAACAGTTAATATAGATATTGTTTAATTTCATTCCGTTTAGATATAAAAACGCCCCTCCACCTCCGATCGATTTCTCCTCACACCCAAAAAATATTCCTTTAGACAAAACCCAAATTGCTCTGGTAGCATTTGCTTGTCCCTTTAAGAATCACTAAAAAAAATACGCTTTCTTTCATTCTATCTTTTTTTTTTCTTATCCTTATCTCTCATATAAAGAAAACATGAAATTCTCTGCCGTAGTCGTTGCTCTCGCTCTTTTCGCATCTGCCAATGCCGTACCATTAAACACGAGGCAAGAGGCAAAACCTTTTACACATCAGAACGGCGTTGACGCCCAGAATTTGAATGACAAGTTCTCTAAATTGACTCCCAATTCGCCATGTACCGCCGGAGAAAATGCCTGCGTAAACAAAGGTTTCGCTCAGTGTGTTGGTAACACGTTCCAAATTACTCAATGCGCCGGTGGCACACAGTGCTTTGCTCTTCCTCTTGTCAACAAGCCCGGAACTTCGATTACCTGCAGTATGTATCACTATGTATACGAGCTATGATTGCAAAGATCTTTATTTCTCAAATAATAACGTTTTTTCTTCTTCTCCAAACAGCCACCCCGTCGGATGCTCAGACCCGCATCAGCACAGCTCTTTCAGCCCCCGCTGGTGGCAGTTCTTCATCTGGTAACACGCCTCCTCCTGCTTCAACCACTTCGTCTTCCGCTACTCCCGCCGCTACTCCTAATGCTGCGCCCAAGCCTGGCGCAAGCACCGCGACTGGTGCAAATTGCAACACGGTTCGCTCCTGCAATGCAAGAGATGCGATAAAGCTTGCCAACGACTTCAAAAAACTTAATGACAACTCACCATGCACAGCTGGCCAAAACGCTTGCGTCAACGGCAAATTCGCCCAGTGTGTTGGTGGCAAATTCCAATCTACGGCATGCAGTGGTGGAACGACATGTCAAGTGCTTCCTTTGGTTAACTCTCGCGGTACTTCCATCACTTGTGACACTGACGCAGACGCCAAGGCCCGTATTCAAGATGCGCTTAACAACTAGAAAAAAATTGTTTAATGTCGGATACGTTTTCTTTGCTTCTTATTACCAACTCTGTATTTTTTAAAAAGGGTAGCAAAAGATTATAGTGATCTCTTTCTGAAAATTGGGTTTTGTCTATAGTAAAAAAAAAAATAATAAAAATAAAAACCTTTAACCTGTTTTCAGTTAAATTGTATGTCGTGTAATTGATTCATTTCAAACATTAACGTTAATTAACCTTATTTGGTATTCCCGGACTCAAATTAGTATATTAAAAAAGTGGGGGGTTGCCCAACGATTTACACTAAACCGCTTTTAGTCTTCTAATCAACGGGAATATAATATTGTTGATTCGACAGATAATCGGTTTACCCATAATATTCTTCTGTGTTAATATTAGGAGGTTTAATATTGTGAGACATCGGTTATTGAATGGGCCATTTTAATATATTCATCTTTGAATTGGGTATACTCTATCGAGGATAACGCTTTGTAACCGACGCTGAATAAACGACCAGAGACTATATTGTTACCTGTTGCAGTATACTAAACTTCAAACCAAACGTTACTTTTTACTTCTGATCGATTTATTCGTTTAGTATTAGCCATCTGAATTCAACTGTTTACTCTTATAAGCATATTAAGAAGATTTTGTTTGTATATTTTCGTTCTATAGACATTCCATTATATCCAATGGATTAGTCAGTCGTTCTCAGAGTTGCAAATATCTGCACATTGACAAGCACTAATTATAGTCTAAGATAATACGAGTTTATACTTAATTTATGCACTTAATGTGGTTCATCGTTCACTCACTTTACATTGGGTAGGCATTGAACATGTCTACTAAATCAGATTGTCAACTGTTGTAGATCGTGTATATTAACGTACAGTGTGTTACAAAAAAAAGAAACTTTCCTAAGACAATTATATAACAACAATAATAAGCAATGAATAAAGTAGCCTCACCTCATTATCACTTATAACTAGGAAACGGGAACCGTTGTGCCCGGAGCAATCATCATCATCATCAATCACAATCATTGGCCGAGATCATGTGCCGCACAGAGAAATTCATGTGATCGAATTTTTCACTAGACAGTAATAGTCCTTCGCTTTGCTCCGGACAATAATAACTTACAATTTTGTTAGTATAATAGATTCTTAGTGCTGATGTCAAATGAGAGTAGATCAAACACGATACATAGCGCCCTAGCGATCTTGTACTTGCAACGCTATTAATTTCACGTAATAATTATCTTTGATACTATTTATTGATATTTTACAACGTCAATAATCAACAAACATGCTCAAACTTATGACGCACGGAACGTAATCCTCAGAGTCGATGCAAAGCATTTTACCAAAAGACAACTAAAGACGTGTATCAAAACTAAGTTTGATTAACCGCATAGTTCGGAATATAGTTTTGTACTGTACAAACGTGCGTAGACCAATAAAAAGGTGTAAGCGGACAAACTTACTTTTTATAGCAATCGTAGCGATAATTAGCTATAGAACTAAACAGACTTGTCGAGAAAAAATAACTGTAAAAAATTAAATTTGTTTATTATTGCGGTAAATTACTAATGGTAACGCATTATTTGCAAATCTTGTCTTTTGGAAATATAAAAGCATATCGATTACATTAACGTTGCTAATAACATTATTATCGTGTATAATAATATCACACGCGCAACAATCTGTAGCCGGTCAGCAGTTTTAAATATAAAATTTTTTGCATTCAGTGACATTATTTTTCTTAAATATAACACTGCAAACTGTACTATAAAAAGCACTTGGTATTAGTATTCACCAAAACTGCTTTCTTGATCTGCAGCCAATCATTGTCATAAAACGTAAACGATGTCACTGTTCTAATTCATTACAACCAGGGGAAATTAATTACTTTGCTAACAAAAAGGAGTTGGTCGCTTTGTTTACTCATTTCACATAAAGATTTGTTACCCAACAGTTTATTTTTACGAATGCACTCATTTATAACTTCAGTTCGAGACCACCCATTTTGTTTAAGAGCTGATAACGATTGGTTTGCCACAGGTTGTCTTACCATCTTTTTGTTTATCAGATATTTCTTCTGAATGATAGGCGTTTGCGAAACTGGTCCGCATGATAACCGTTTAACTCGCCAGTTCCACCATTAGTATGTAATGCCGATTAATAACGCCGTTATATAAAGTGTAGGGCTGCAAGTATAGTACTGAGTGCAAGCTCCACGCAGGATTAAGTCTAAACCATAACACTGTTTAGAATATCTCAGTGTGCTAAACATATCTTTGCTAATTTGTGTTGGTAACACGCAGTCTTATGACCATTCAGGTGTGACAAATTCCGTCGTCACACATCTGATTGTAATGCCTTTTTTTATTCATAACACTTCGTGTTTCTGAAAAGACAAAAGAAAATGGTTATTTAGTATCGTTCGTATAGTATACGTACCGGTTTGACGAGATGTAAATAAAAGATGATTTATTAAAAGATAAAGTTATTACCATATTCTTTTGTTACTGTGCTATCATTTTTGTTATTTAATCGCCGCAAATTCATCTTCTCATTTCTTTCAATCTCTTTTTGTTTCCCTTTGGTATGTTTCTCTTTTGGCATTATTATTATGTTTTTATTTTTCTAATTTTAACAAATATACATTTTTTAGTCCGTACTTAACAATGGGAGGGAACGGTTCTACTTGCAAATGCGAAAATCCGCAAGTATCTTCAAGATCCTGCAATAACGGCTACTGCAGTTTTTCCTATTGTTCATCTTGCGGTCTCGACTTGCCGGGATATACGTCTTATAATTGTACTTGTAACAATGGCGGTGGGGGTGGAAATGGTTGAAATTCTCTGGACAAGAAACTTTCTATTAGTTTCTTTGCTATTGTTATGTTATAGCTTAGTAAACTATTCTTTTAATGTTCTACTCAAGAATTAAATTGCATATGTTAACTGTGAATTTGTCTTTCGTCGCATCAGACATTGTCCAAAGTGTATTAATAATTTGTCGCCATGCGAGAAGGAAAAGCCATAAACGTTTCTTGTGTGATGCCCATGTTTTCTTTGAACACAATTGTCATTAGTTGTCACCATAAACATGCAATTTTTCAGAAAAACACTTGTTATGCATATCACCCCATGTACATATAAATTGTATAAAACAACGCAAATTTAACATTTGTCTGTAGATAAAACTTCGACCTTTTAAAATAGCTAGTTGAACTGCTACTCTATAGTCACTGCGTAATATCGTACTTACAAAGAAAAATCGTGAAATGGATTTATGGATTTAATGCTCAGAAACTCGCCTTACATTATATATTATTAGACAGAAATGCGCTGTAGTACCATTTCAGATAGTAACGTATCTACTTAGCGTGAAATCTTATTCTATGTACACAGTGAAATTCACTTTAACGAACTCTCACTTTAACGAACTCTCACTTTAACGAAGATAGCTTATAACAAAGTATTTTTCTGGAACTAGTTCGTTCTTAACAGAATAATTTCAGATAAATGAACATTTCAAAATCCATGCATAAATAAAGCCATTCACTTGGGCGAAATTTTTTGTATAACGAAGTTCGTTATAGGGATTAACTAATCAGAATCATCGATCTCAATCTCATAAATAAAGACTTAAAGCGGTGTCTTCTTTCTACTAAGACTGTAAAAGCATTTCTCTTGTTCATTATATTATTATACGCTTGCTCTTCGTCTCAAATAATAACAAAGATGCTCAAATCA